CTCTCCCACTGGTAAGAGGTAGGTAGCTTCCTCTTAAGACACATAAGGAATTTTATTATAAAGGAAAATTTACTCAGATACAGGAATAAGAATTAAAGATCCTGACTGGTGGTCACGAACAAGATGGGGGACTTGGTGTCTCTACTGGAGCTTACTTATATCTGGCCCAGCATATCCATGCGGCACGTGCCTTTAACAGAGTGAACTGAAGTCCAGGTGTGTGGTGGGTGCTGCAGTCCCAGCACTGAGCACGCTGACAGCAGGAGGGTGACAAGCTTGGCTAGCCTAGGTGGTTGTGGAGCAAGACTGTCGCAAATGAATAAAATAGCATGTGCTGGTACACGATGGTTTCTAGGATATGTGGATCGGAGTACAAGGTCAGGGAGACATGTACTTACTTCCTTGTTTCCTACAAGCTGAGGTTTTAATCCATCCCTAGTAACATATTTAGACAACTAGAGAAGACCCTGGGGAAGAGAAATAAAGGTTGGCATGAGGAGAAATAGTAATTCTTCACTGTGTTCTTTTATGTTGTTTGCATTTTTTAAAGCCGTGTACTTTTCAAACAAACCTGTTTTCTAGAAAAAGGAAGAAAATAAACTTGTTTTGCTTGGACTTCCCTGACAGGAGTGATCGACACAGGAACTGCCCCATTTGTCGCCTACAGATGACTGGAGCAAACGAATCGTGGGTGGTATCAGATGCACCCACTGAAGATGACATGGCTAACTATATTCTTAATATGGCTGATGAGGCAGGCCAGCCCCACAGGCCCTGAGTGGGGAAGACTCTTGTTCTTGTGAGCTCCAAATACACTGGTCATAGAGGAGGAGTGGAGGGGTGTGTTGGACACAGGAAGATCAGGTTTCCCACCCTCTTATTTTTGCTATTCTGATGATATGTCCCATTCTGAAATAAACTCCCATGTCTTCCATGTAGGGTGGGTTACACTTTGCTACTGTTTGGCCAGGTCCCCACTGTCCCCCTGTTCTTGGTTGCTCTTGAGCCCTTTGCTACAGATAGCAGCAATACTTGACACTACTGCTTTTCAGGGACGGGGTGTTCTGTGTCTTCTTAGCTAGGTTTACAATTTAGAGTGTTCAAAGTTGTAGCCATCTGAGATAAATGAGTGAAACTAATGTCTCAGTGGGAGTTGCTTCTGCCGGGACCTGAGGAGAGTGCACTCCGCCCCCTTGTGGTTCATTCTGGATCCTTTACTACCAGGGCCCATTGCTTCCTGATGTCCGTGTAACTTCAGCAGTGGGTTCTGGGACTGCTTTTTATCATACTGCAGCACTCGGAGAAGGACTCCGAGGTTGGGACTTCGTCTTGCAGATGGACTCCACTGGAAGAATCTTTGTGGCTGTTCTCTGGACTTGGGGAGGTGTTCATAGTGCCCATGTGGCTTGGCTTTTCAGAAGGAAATCTTTTTTTTATTGCAGACACACGTTTATATTTCCAGGTTACACTGAGTCATCCAGTCCTGAGCTAGAGTGTTTATTTTAGAGAAAGACACTTCCGTTTCCTCAATTCTCTTAGATTAAAAGAAAAGGAAGATCAGATGAAGCTTTTCACCACACATTTGTAAACCTCTGAAATCCAGAGAGCGATTACCTTTCTTCCCGTTTCTCTGAATCCTTCGAAGTCTGAAGAGAGTACGGTAATAGGAGTACAGCCCTCGGCCAATCCCGGCCATGGCTAATGGAGTAAGAACATTGATGTTAACAGTTCAGCCTATAATAAAACTAGTGCATGAAATCAAGTCACCTTTAAGAAATTTTAGCATTCCATAGAAATTTTCTCACTGATTAATTGCAAATGTTCCTATTTTCCTAAGTACAAAGGTACATGATTGAAGTTGCTGCTTATTGATTTTTTGATTAAAATCTTAATGAGCATGCAAATAAACTCCCTTTCAAAGAAAAAGACCTGACTTGATTCTGCCCCCCAAATACTGAAGACTTCAGTTGTCTACCAACTGTCACGACAGGACAGTGAAGGACCAAATGGCTGAGGAGTCCTTTCGGGTGTGGAGGCCGGTGCAGTGCTGGCCTCTGGCCTGGCCTGGCTGTGTTTGATGTTTCCCAGCCCGAGACAGCCAGCCTTATCTGCTGTAGGCTCCTGTTGGGAAACAGACTGTATCTGTGGTTTTCAAACCTTAGCAGTGAAACTTCCAGTAAAATGTGAGAGTCCATATGCACCGAGTGTATGCACACATGCTACTGCAGTTATACAGAAGCTGCATTTTATTAATATAGGGGTCCTTTTTATCAGCTTCGTGCAGTGTGGTCACCATTATGTCAGTGTAGGAAAACATCACAATGATTGGTGATACAGTTTCATTAGAATTTAGTGAGTAACAAATTGGTGTGATGAGAAGCTTTTGTTTTGTAAAAATAATATTTCAGGGCTGGGGGTGTAGCTCAGTTGGTAGAGTGTTTGCCTAGCATATGTGAAGCCCTGGGCTCCATCCCAGCACCGCATAAAAACAAACAGTCCTGGTGGTACCTGGAACCCCAGCACTTGAGAGGGGGAAGCAGGAAAGTGAGAAGTTCAAGGACATCCTCATCTGCATAGTGAATTCAAGGCCAGCCTGGGCTACATTGAGACCCTGTTTCAAAAAAATTGTGGGTAGAGGCTGGAGAACTGGTCCAGTGGTTAAGAGCAATTGCTGTTCTTGCAGAGGACCTGAGTTCAATTCCCAGCACCTGTGTTTGTGGTTCACAGCAGCCTGTAATTCCAGCTCCAGGGGATCCAGTGCCCTCTTCTGACCTTCTAAGGCACTTGAATACTTGTCACATACACACCCCAAAAATAAATCTTTAAAACGTTTTAAAATTTGTATTTGCAGATGTTTCAACTTCCTCTGTTGATTCTCAAGTGCTCTGTGGAACATTTTTAAAACCCTGAGATAAGAGACCCTCTGAAATATTTTCCAGCCTTAAAAATTGAAATTGTCCTTTTGGATTAGTCTTGCTGGTTTAATTCAAATTGCCTAATTGAAAAATGTTTCTGAAAATGAAGAACATAGCTTTATGGGTTTGGTATCTTTTCAGCAATAGACAAAACTTTGATTCCCCAGAATCCTTCACATGTGTGAAGGAATTAAACGGTGAATCCAGTGACTTGATATTGTCCACAGCCCTTTCCTTACAGTCTGAGCTCCAAGATACGAACTGATCCACTGTGAGATGCCAGTGTCTCCCCTCGCCTCATCAAGTAAATGAGCAAAGCTCTTTGCCCATCTTTCTTCATATGTGGATGGTAGGTAGGGCCTGCCTGCTGTAGTATCCGATCATAAAGTTGTTGCTTTGTCTCACGAGTATACATACACCTTTTCTACTCTGTACAGCTTTGTCTTTTTAAAATAATTCTGAATGCACTTACCATAGTAGAGAATCGTGTGCCTTCTGCAATGTGTGAACTGCCTCCTGCTCTGGGGACCCTTTGTAATTTGGACTGGTAGTGCTCTGCTCACTCAGTAACTGGGTTGACTCATGCTGTAGACACTGGATTTCAGAAGATGAGTTTAGCTGTGTACTGCTGTAAAGACTGAGAGCAGCGGAAGCTGTTTTATTCTTAGGAGAAACTGATGCAATGTGCAATAAGTAAACCTTGCAAGTGAACATTAGCTAATGACAGACTTTTGCTTATGTAATTTCACTTCTTATGTACTAAATATTTATATTTATTAGAAGACTTTTATATTGTGCTCTGGGGATTGTGTTTGTGTGCTGTTTTGAGATGATTTCCTTATATTAATATATCTCTGGGTAATAAGGCTGCTTGGAAACCTTTTGGTTCCCTGATTTTTAACACTGGGAAGTTGGGTTCATTAAAAGACAGTATGAATAATTTGCATTTGTGGTGTTGGGAGTTTCCTTGCTTTGGGGGTGTTTCTCATCTGAAGCTTGCTTTGTCCGCTCACACCCACATTGATAGGGACAACACAGTGGCAATGTAAACAGTGTGTGACTTTGCTTGCCTTTTCTGCCCTACTGCCCCATTAGACTGAGCAGAGGATTGAGCACTGCACCCCCGCATTCTGTGCTTCCCATGTAAAAGGGTGTCAGTAGAGAAGCGCCTTGAGTCTCACTGCCCACAGGGAAAGCAGGAGGTAGCAGCTTAGAGGAGAGTTCGCTGGTGCCTGACAACCATCCTGTGATAGTGATACACACTGCTATCAAAAGCACAAAGCCTCCTCAAATATACTTTGATAAATATGCCACTCTATAGGCCTAGCTCTTCACTGTCTTCTACTTTACAGAATATCCCCTGTAGGTAAGAAGCCCAGAGGCTGCTGGTCTGTGCTGTATGTCCCTTTTTTATTGGCATTATGGTTATTCTAACAGTCATGGAGCAGACACAGAACAGCACATGCCGCACAACCAGTTACCTTCATTTGTATTGAAGACCCAGAGAACGATGAGCCCACCCCTCAGCAAGCAGTAACTACTGAGGAAGCCAGACACGCTCTCAACCCTGCTTTCATTCAAGACAAAGTGAGCAGATGGACCAAGGGGCTGGTTTTCAGCAGCATACCTTAAATAAGATATAAGGCAACCATCTGCCCTTAGGAATTGGCCAGAGCACTGTCTGGAATCTGTCCCTTTAGAAACCTGGGTCCACATACACTTGCCTTTGCTTCCAAACTAAAACAAACAAAAGCAGGGATTCACCCCCAGCGCCCAGGAGGCTCAGTGAAATACAGGATGTAATAAAACATAATGTGTTAGAGAAACCAGAGCCTGGAAGCTTTCAGGCTGTGTAAGACTCCGCACATGCTGGCAAACAGACTAACAGAACATTCAGGAAAAGAACTCGAGGTGTGGTTCTGCTGATGTCCTGTGAGCAGGCAGAAGCTAGCAAAGATTCCAGATATCCACTGCAAGGTCTGAGCTTCGGCTCGCAAATTCTGGGTTTTCCTCGTGAATGCCCTCCACTTCTCACAGCTTTTCACTCTGCCCCATCTTAAAACAATAAACATTTGCTCTATTGAGTCACAGTCCTAAGAGACTTTATTTGTAGTTTTTTTAGAAAAGTATTTGATACAATGAAAAATCTGTACAATACTTGCTATGTTTGGGCAAATGTATACAAATGGAGGCTTTTCAAAAACAATCCCTCAGATAATGACAGGCTTTCATTCAGTTTCATATTCAGCCATGTAAGATAGTAGATTTGCCTAGTAAAAGGATGGCATGGTTCCATAAGCTGCGGTGACCACTGGGAGAACAACAGTCACAGGATGAGATACTCTAGAATCAAATAAGCATCTTCCAGGTAAAATTAGGTTCATCTAACAGTGATTCAGAAGGACTTCTACCTTGTGAACAGGAAGGTCTTTGAACATTGTTGAGTATTCTGCACACACGGATGCCAAAAGAGAAAGTCAGTCAGTTATTTCATATGCATTTATTGAGCACCTACTGTGTTCTAGGCACTAGTAACAAAGATGAGTAGTCTGATAAAGTTTAACTCCACATTGATCTTAAAAACTTTCTACCTGGTCCCTGGGACCTTGATAGCTTCTGAAGAAATCTGTGTTTTAAAATAAAATGTACCATGTTAAAGCTATTTTAAAAAAAAATCTAACATTTGTGAAGCCTAAAGGAAGAGAGGGAGAAAGACTGGATCAGGGGCCTGGTTCTAGTCCTGTGTGTCCTTAAGAGTGTTTCACTGCCCTGCGCTGACTCCTGGGGAGGTGGTAACAGCTGCAATCACAGGCTATTAGAACCAAAAGGAACAGAGGCCCTGTGCTTTTCAAAGGCCTTCATTAATAGGACAATATGATGTTAACAGACCCTCACCCTGTGTCTACCCCAGCCCTGGAGTGGTCCATGAAATGGATTCACAGTCCACGATTTGAGATGACTCATTGAGTCCTGGGTGAGGAATATTAACACACAACAGGAGTCGTGGTATCAGTGGACGCACTAGGCTTCCTAATGAGGAAGGGAGGAGGGGCTAGACAGGTGAAGAAAAGCATTTTAAAAATGCACAAATCAGCCGGGCGGTGGTGGCGCACACCTTTAATCCCAGCACTCGGAGGCAGAGCCAGGTGGATCTCTGTGAGTTCGAGGCCAGCTACCAAGTGAGTTCCAGGAAAGGCACCAAAACTACACAGAGAAACCCTGTCTCGAAAAACCAAAAAAAAAAAAAAAAAAACCCACAAATCATCAACGGGAGCCTCGTGTTTTCTCTCAAAGTAGCCCCTTTATGAAAGGGGGCTTTGAAGGGGGTTTAAGGCGGCCAGCCATGAGATGCTGAGATGGGAACTATTCCACAGGGCCTGCTGAGAGGAGTGTGGCAGACACCACACAGGCCATGTGTCACTTGGTATTCAGCCTTGCAAAGTCCCAGCCTCAACCATGTAAGCACTGGCAATCCCAAGAGAAACGTGGAAAATCAGGAACAGGTAGACACAAGTGCCAGCTCCCAGCTCCCCCACCAGAGGTGGCCAGCATCTGGCTCAGAAACGCTAACAGAATGGGCATGTTGATAAAGGGCAACCCAAATCAGGAATTTGAGATTTCTTCAGAGGCAGCCTTGTCACCGACAGAAGCCCTCGTTTGAGATCTTGGCCACCATTCGCCCCAGCAGACTTGAAATTAAACCAAAAGGTGAAAGTGTGTGTGTGTGTGGAACGCTGGGCCTATTTGGTCAGGGCTGTGATCTCCTCGGACTTCATGGCATCGGACAGGAAGCTGAGCTCATTGCACAGGGTCTCGTAGCGGAACGCCATCCGGATCTGCGCGACATTTGTCTTGCGGATGTCATTGCCCTCTGGTCCTTCTTTGTAATAATTCTGACCCAAAAACTTCTGCTTCTCCTGCAGGCCAAGAGAAGGAGAAGTGAGACCAGATTCATGTCTGTATCCACACAGACAGCTTTGACGTGAGCCCCAGCATACAGTCTAGTGTCCCTAAAGCTGATCCTCCACGGGGACATCTTCCTCCCATGGGACTCCAAATCTGACCATTTGGCCATTCCCTCCATTGTTGTGAGAGAGGAGAGAGAATTAGAGAACCCATGGGCCTACGCTGTGTGGTGAAGGACTGGGACAAGGAAGCCCACCTGAGAGGTGACATGGGCAGGCAGTCATGTGTTCCTAGAGAGGCCGGATCCCAGAACAACTCACACAGCACTAAGGCCTTTAACTGTCATCTCCCCGGAGACCCTGTAAGACCGCCTCTTCCTGTTCAAATGACATCCCCTGAGCAGAAGCCCCGGTTCTCAATGTTGGCTCCACAGCCGATTCTCAAGGGAGCCACACAAAGGTGCCGAGTCTCGTGTGTGCGCTCAGCGCCTGCTCTTGCCAGGACTATTTTAGGGCCTGGCAACATAACATGGAACGAGCCTCTGCACTCAATTCCATTCGAAAGGGAAACTGAAAAACACATGAGGAAATGCATGGCACAGTGTCTGCAGTGCAGCATGCTATGGAGAAAAATAGGTTAAGGGGAAGGAGGAGGGCAGGTCTGAGGTAGATGAGGAGCAGCCGTGATGGCCCCCCAACGTTTCTGCTGGGGCCTGAATGTCAGTGCTCCTGAGACCTGGCTTGCTCAGCTTGTCTCCTATCCCGGGGCCTAGCAGGCACCCTGTGCACAGAATTCTATGTGCTCATTTGTGCAGGGGGAAGGGCAGACAAGCCCATCACAGTCACCTGATGCGAGAGGCCGCTCTGCAGCACGCTGTTCCTGGCGATCTCACACAGATCACATGTGCTCAGCTTCCACACTTGGGCTGCGATGGCATACTCCTCCATGAGTGCTTCCTGGACCCCGCCCCAGAGCACACAGGTTAGATGAGAGAGACAACCCTTCAGCCTTGGAACATGAAAAGCGCTCTCCCATGGCTTTCCTCTACCAGCTCGCACTGCGATCATCAAACAAGCTCACACCTTAAACTCCAAGCCCCGGAGATCTGTTTGTGTGCAACTGTGGGTCACCAAATGGAGATAAATCAAGGAGACTTCTAGATTTGTTTCCTCACCAGCACTGGGGGCCTAGTGTCTCAGAAAGCTGGGGTCCTGCTCTTCCTTGACAGTCCTTATTAAAAGGGAGGCGGGCTGGAGAGATGGCTCAGCAGCTAAGAGCACTGACTGCCCTTCCAGAGGTCCTGAGTTCAATTCCCAGCACCCACATGGTGGCGCACAACCATCTACAATGAGATCTGGTGCCCTCTTCTGGAGTGCAGACATACATGCAAACAGAACACTGTATACATAATAAATCTTTTAAAAATATAAATAAATAAAAAATAAAAGGGGGGCTCCTTAGGTAAACATAGGAGCGTTCATGCAAACGAGACCCAAGCATCTGAGTGCGGCAGCTCCCCAAAGCCGCAGCCTCAGGGATTGACTAACAAAGTGATGGAGACTGACAGAAAAACAGAAGCGAGCCAAGGGAACCCTAACTGGCAACAGCTTGGTCAAGCAGTCAACTAGTTAACTGTTGTGGTGTAATTAACTGTTACAGTGTAACTAGTAGTTTGGTTCCAGGGCTCCTATAACCATCTGGAGCGGAGTTGTTGTAATCAAGGTCTAATTGATTTAAGCTGTTGGCCCTTCTGCTGGCGCTTACACAAGGCCGACGGCCTGCCTCAAAAGTTCAGCTCCCCTGTAGTCAGGCACAACTTTAATTATTTGTATTTTATGTGCATTGATGTTTGCCCGTGTGTATGTCTGTGTGAGGGTGTCAGATCCCCTGGAACAGGAGTTAGTCCTGAGTTGCCACGTGGGTGCTGGGAATTGAACCTGGTCCTCTGGAAGAACAGCCAGTGCTGATTAATTGCTGAGCCATCTCTCCGCTCCCCCCGGTCAGGCACATTTTTAGTGTCTGCTCTTAGTTTTGCTTTTGTTGTTGTTGTTGTTGTTTGCTTGGTTTTTGTTTTTCGAGACATGGTTTCTCTGGGTAACAATCCTGGCTCTCCTGGAACTTTCTGTAGACAAGGCTGGCTTCGAACTCAGAGACCTGCCTGCCTCTGCTTCCAGAGTGCTAGGATTAAAGGCGTGCGCCACCATGGCTGGCTAGCTTTGCTTTTTATTTAACATACTATTTTTATAAAAATGTTCAAAAATAAAAGTTAAAACGAGGAAAATGTAACATTAAACAAGAACAAGACTCCCTCCCTCCACGTGGGGAGATGATGCAATCCCTAAGGGGCTGGGCTTAGCCAGGGCCCAGCCTTATCTCCTGGCTGGGAACTAGCTGCCATCCATCACCAGCCCTTTATCTCCAGAGCGCCTCCAGCTGAGGGGCTAAACTGTGCTTACAAAGACCTCTGGGACTCAGAGACCTTTTGCCAACTCCAGTTGGGAACTCTGGCTGTTGTGAGGCAGAATTGCTTTCGGGTACTTTTCAAGAAATTGAATGCAGAGGCGGAGATGGGAACCCAGCTGTCTTCTATTAAGTGAGACATTCAAGCAAACTGCAGAACAACGCCACTCCTCTTGGGATTGTTGTTTTGGGAAATATTTTCATAACATTTTTTGCTATTTATACAATACTTAATGATTCCATTACTATTTTGGGATGGGTGGAGGGTGTGTGTGTGTGTGTGTGTGTGTGTGTGTGGTGTCATCGTTGTTTTTAGTTTCTTGGTTGTTTTTGTTTTGATGCAGGCTTTCATCTGTAGCCCAGGCTGGCCACTGCCTCAGCACCCCCCCACCCACCCCAGTGCTAGGATTACAGGCATCAAACCAATGCATTACTGTTTTGTAAAGGTGAAAGAAAGAAACCAGGGTGTTACATTACTGGTTTTAAGTGAGTTTGTAAATATTTTTAAAAGCATCCCTAGCCTCTCACACCATAAAGCACCATAGACACAACAAAGACGGGAGGAAGCTCCGAAATGGCTTTCACCCTGGGTGTAAAGGGTCAGGGCGCTGCAAGCCTGCAGAAGCTCCGCCCAGGACAATGTAGCTTCTATTTTTTGCTAATCAGTGGCTGATCTTGTCAACACCAGTAGAATGTTCTGGGAACACTTGTGGCTGTTCTCATGCATGACATCATCTTTCCCTTCTCTCCTCCCAGAGACCCAAAGCATAATCATAAAAATACTATCAACAAAGCCAGGTGTGGCGGCACATGCCTTCAATCACAGCACTACAGAGGCATAGGCAGAGACAGGAAGATCTCTGTGATTTCGAGGCCAGCCTGGTCTACTTATCAAGTTCTAGCCAGCCAAGGCTACACAGTGAAACCTGCCCTCCCCTAAAGGGACAAGTACTATTAATTTTAAAAATTTTGCCTCAATTTTTGAATGCATGGTGTATTAGACTATTAGACTCCATTAGCTTAAAGAAGAACTGGTTTTATGGCCACTTCACAAATAAAAGGAAATACAATACAGAGAGTTCTAATAACTGTACCAATATCACAGAGGTACATCCAGAAAAGGTGGACTTGAGGAAAGGCAAAGACTCCCCTCACCACAGGCCCACCCCTTGTCTTCACCAAGCCACACGACACCCACAACAAAATTGGGCTCTGAGCTCACATCTTCACAGTGGCAGGGGCCGGGGAGCAGGCCAGGCCTGATGCCTGCTGGGATACCACTGCACTTCCCCCACGTCCTCACCTTGGTGTAATGGAACTGCATGGGGTCATCGGTGGAGAGCGAGACATGCAGCCCTTTGTGCAGGAATTCCCGAAGCGGGTTCTTGGAATATTCCAGAAACAGGCTGTTGTTGCTGAGAGGAGACATGGCAATAGGGATCTGAGCAAGGTAGTAGAGATATTGCAACACAGGACTCTGCAAAAGAACCAACAAACACTCATGTGACATGTGCCCAAGGGGATGTGTGGGAGAAGCGCTTGTCAAGGGAAACCAGAGGCTGGGCAGCATCTGGACGGGTCTCCACCAAGCCCAAGAAAGCCAGGATGCCCAGACCCACCGTCCTCTACTGCCTGTGTTCCCTCATCGCTCTATGACATGAAGGGACTCTTGCCCACTGCTTGAAGTACCCACTCTTGGCTCCAGATTGTAGGGAAGAGCTCTGGGCAGGAGGCCACATCTTACACTCCTCACAGGCCCCCTGAGGTGGGCAGGCCAGAAGAACCCCATATGTGTAAAGAATGTTCAAGTTGAGCCTTTCATTGGTTTGGATATAAAACGCCCTCCATAGGCTGGCCTGGAACTCCCTCTGTAGCCCAGGCTGGCCTCGAACTCACAGAGATCCGCCTGTCTCTGCTTCCTAAGTGCTGGGACTAAAGGTGTGCGCCACCATGGCCTGGCTGTACCCAATTGCTTTTGTTTGCTGTTTTTCCTGCTTTGTTTGTTTTGTTTGTTGTTGAGAGAGAAAGAGAACATGGAGTTGTGAAGGGAGGTGGGGAGGCATTGCGGGGGAAAGAATAATGATCAAAATAGATGAAAAAAAAATGTAAATAAATAGTGAGTGAACCTAAGAAGACTCCAGGTAGCCCAGCCCTCCAGGAGCCATGGCCCTCCTGCACCACTGACCAGCAAACACTCTAAGTGGGTGGATGGGGACCCAGCACACCTAGCATGGCCTCGGGGACTGGCCCACTTACCTTCTTGAGGAGCAGCCCGTGGGAAATGTTGTCAGCAGTCAGGAAGGCGGACACTAGGTGGGTGATGGAGCCTGCCTCCCCACAGTGAGGCCGGAACAGGAACGTGCTCAGGCCTCGTTCTCTGTGGAAGAGAGGCTCCAGGTCAGGACATGGCCCTGGTTTACCTTGGCCACACCCCCAGCCCAGGACCCACTCCAGGGGAGAACATCCCCATGGCATGGTCGGCACAGCTAAGCCAGTGCATCCTAGAAACAGCCCTTCCTACAATGCCGAAGCCAAGAGACCTGACGTCCAGGGCAGAGGAGGCTGGCAATAGAGAGGCCCGGCCTTCCTCCATCCTTCCCCGCTTCCCCACTTCCCCGAGTTCCAGGACTGTGGCCTCCATCCACCATGAGAAACAAGTCCAAACTCTTTACCATAGAAATGAGCAAGGCCCAGAGGGTGACCTGTGTTGAAAGAAACTGAGCAGGCCAGTGACAGAGTCAGACCTGGACAGTCCGTCTCCCAGAGCTCAGCTCAGGACCTCCTCCACCCTGGTCTCAGGCCCTTCTCTCCACCCCATTCTAAATCTCCACACCACAAACTTGGATTGGCTCCATGCTAGCCAGTGGGAATCGGTGCTCCCAAAAGAAGGTATATGGAATTAGACTTGTAGAGAAGGGAATGTAGCTGTGTCCTATGTCCCGGGTATCTGGCCCCTGCCAGCATGTGCTTCCCCTGGTTTGTGGAATCTGTGCACAGGAGACCACCCTCAGGCTTGTGTAGATTGAATCTGCTTCACACACACACACACACACACACACACACACACACACACACACACACACACACACACCAACCATCTCTCCTGTGCCTAGACTGTGTTTATCACATGGTAGTTATCATGCTTATCACATTGCTGCAGAGTAAATAAGCATGCATATGTGTTGGCATGTCCTAGGTCATTCCTGTCTCAGGGATCAACATGGAGGTATTTGCTGGTGAATATGTACATATGAACATATGTGTGCAAATGTATAGCATTATTGCATATATGATGCACATATGTATTGGCATGAGTCTTCTCGTGCATATGCCCACATGTGTGAGCAGTCATGATAAATTTAAGAATCCACTTGGGTGTGCGTGTTGGCAGAAGTGAACACATACCCATGGATCACATGTGTGTGGAACACGGGCTCATTCCAGGGCCACCTCACCCACCTGCGAAGGTTGTTCAGCACCATGATGTTGGCATACATGTAGTACAGGTAGTAACTGTAGGGTGGGTTCTGCTCACTGGTCCAGAGGTCTGGACTGGGACTCTTGTCTGAGAACATGTGGTCACTGTGCTTGGACTCATCATCCACGCTGTCAAACCCTGTCACCTGTTTGGGAAGTAAGGATGCTGACATTGAGGATCAATCAGGACTCCCCCCAGCTCCAGGCAGGGCTTAGAAGCTCTCACTTCTGTTGGAGACCCTGGGCCTCTGCAGTCTTATCCCCCAAAGGCCTAGAGATGTGGTACAGCACCCTAGTCTGTCCCTTAGGGGTTCCCAATGGGTCCAGTGGCCAGCCTGGAGAATGCCCAGCCCCTGTGTGGCACAATGAGGCTGGGCCAGATGAGGGTGAGTCCAAGCTGCCAAATTTTCCCTTTGCCATGCCTAAGAGGCCAACAGCAGCAGTGGCAGACCGAGGTGGGAGGGAACCTACTTGATATGCCATGCACCACTCCTGTCCATCAAGTCCTGCTGGCCTTCCAACTCACCAGCTAGTTAGTACTCAAGTGTTACTGGGGGGGGGGGGGGATCGGAGCCTCATTTTATTGTTGAGCAAACCAGAACCAAAGTGAATTAGGAAGCTGTCCAAGTGGGATGACCAGGCTCTGGGCCCATATAGGCTCCAGGGCTTGTAGAATCTTAACTAAGCAAAGATGGGTTACATTTGTTTATGCTGCAGACTATTACTTTAACTGTGCAAAGGTGTGTTACTTTTGTTTATGCTGCACTTAATGATGTAAGGATGTGTGTTTAATAATGTAAAGATATCGTGCATCTGTTTCACCTTGCCTGTTTAAGGCACCTGAACGGCCAGGCAGATGCCAGCCAACCAGAGAAGCAGTTGAGTAAGATGTACAGAAGTAAGAAAGGTCATAAGCCCCGAGGCAAAAGGAAGATAAAGAGAAACAGGTTAACTTAAGTTAAAAAAGCTAGCCAGAAATGTGCCTAAGCTAGGCCGAGCAGTCAAAACTAATACTAAGTCTCTGTGTCATGATTTGGGAGCTGGTTGATGACCCCAAAAGAAAAAGCCTGGTACAAGGGCTGGATTTGGGGCTTTGGGTAGAGGATTCCTTTGGGTTTGCCAGGTATGGCCGTGAGACACCAGCTGGATGCCTGACAGCAGACCAGGAGGCCCCGGCCAGGCACAGCAGGGGCTCCAGAGGCATCTCTGCTCCCTTGGGAAAGACCTGGGAAATCTTTTTCTTTAATCAGGTATCTCCAGCCTCCAGGCTAAGCACTGGTGATTCTTGCCCATGGCTGCCCTTCTCTACCGGGGACAGACACAGCATCACCAGCAACCATGACCCTGAGAAGCAGCCTCCCCTCCTCTTTAGAAAGCTGCTTGGAGCTGGCAGCCCAGGCCTGGGATCCAGGAGCTGGGGATGGAAGCAGAGTGGGAGGAGGAGGAGGAAGTCTGGCCGGGCCCCTGTGGAGCAGGTGTGCCCTCCTCTGCCACACTGAGCTCACCAGAGGCCCCACACTTACGTATTTGAGGAAGAGGTGAAGCTCCCGGTGATCTTGGGGGTTGATGGTAGCCTTGAAAAGGGGCAGGAAAATGTTCTCCAGCATCCTCCCAAAGTTGGGCAGTAGTTTCTTTGACCTAAATATGTCACTGGGGAAATCAAAGGCTTGCTCGTTAGGACTTGATCTGCCAGGAGGGCCAGTTACTTTCTCAGCAGAGCAAACAAACACCCAGTGTGGTGAGTGTTGTGCAAACTCCGCCTCTTCCTGTGCAAAATCCGCCTCTTCCTGTGCCCATCAAGCCAGAGGCCACTTCCAGAGTAAAGGGGTGGGATTCAGGCTGGGTGAGATCTGATAAAAGAGTCCTCTGATTTCCAGTGAACAGACGAAACCCCATGCCCAGCCCAGCTGGGGATGACAGAGGCACTCTGAGTGGCCGTCAGGGAGAGGTCAGCAAGGCAGGACACTGCTGGGCATGTTGTGGCCCAGGCTCACCCAAGTCAATGAGAAGAAGGCAGGATGGTAGTCCCCCACCAAGGTCTTGCCATATATTCTTCAAAAGCATGAGTGATGTGTGCTGAGAGCCAAGCAGCAGCCCCCCTCCCCTCCCCTCAATAGCATAGGAGCCGTGTAGGACAGGCTGTGGTCCCCAAAGGACCCAGGGCAGACAAGCAGTACTTACTAGATCCGGGGCACCTGGATGATCCAGCGCATGTTGGGTGAGTAGACCTTGTGCTGGATGAACCAGCGAGCCAGGCTGGACCACTCTTGGGGACTTCGGCCATAGATGGAGAGCCGTGGTTCTGAGTACTGGTATTTGCTGTCCTCCAGCTCCCGGGCCACCTCCTGGTACCAAGAAGAACTGAGTCAGCCCAAGAGACTCTCAGCCACATGGGAGACCCCAATCCCCAGGTGGGCCCTGGGATCCTTTAGCTACCTGCTCCTGGGTGGGAGGGCTGATCTAAATCCCTGGTGCTGCCATGAAAGCACCCACTCCCCAGCCGAGGCTTCTCCTGGGAGGGAGGCCAGGGTGTGACACCGGCATGCTGTAGAAACAGGCCTGGCTGTAGAACCAGGCTGGGCAGCAGCCATGTCTCCACCTGGAGCCAGCCTGCGACCAGCTGAGTTCAGGCTGCAAACAGACAGGGGTGGCACCAGGATGCTCCGAGCTCCCCGCTTCTCTCCCCTCCCCTGCCCATGCTTGAGAGCAGGAGACCAGCACTGGCCTGTGCTGCATGGTAGAAGGCCTTCAGGGAGAGGAAGAGACAGAGGTCAGACACGCCCCTACTTTTTCACTCACCTTGACCATCCGAGCAAAGTACTCTCCTCCCAGGAAGTTTTCAGTCTTCAGATACAGGTCCCGAAGCTCACTGGCTCCCACGGGGTTGTACTTGGAGTTGAACTTGTCAAAGCGGTGGAATGTCTGCCGGCCCTGTAAGGAGGAAACACCAGCCGGCTCTACCACACGTCTCTGTAACTACCAAACATGTTTCTCCAGGCCGCCATTACAGGACAGCCACACTGGAAAATGTTGTCACCCCCATCTCTCTCCCTCCCTCCCTCCCTCCCTTCCTCCCTTCTTCCCTTCCTTTCTTTTAGATAAAGTCTCACTCTGTAGTGCAAGGTAACTTTAAACTACAATCCTGCCTCATCCTCCAGAGTGCTAGGATTACAGGCATCTGTCACCATGCTCAGCTCTACGTTATTTCCTGCATGAAACCTAGGAAGTCCTGACTGCCAGGATCGTGTCCCCCTCAGTCAGCCACAGGACTCTTTGGACAGGACCGTGGCAGAGTACCAAGTGCCTGGAGGTCTGAGAACGCAGCTGGCATACAGAGCATACAAGACCACTCAACAGTCAAAAATAACAAGTTTAGCATCAGGGAAGGTGGCTTTCAGCTAATATGCTTACTGCACACACTATGGACCAGAGTTCGGATCCCCAGAAGCCCACATACATGCCAGGTGGCTGTAGTGGCCCCACCTGTAATTCCAGCCTCAGAAGGCAGAGAGAGGGGATCCCCAAAGAGGCTGGCTAAGACTAGCCCTGTCAATGAGCTCTAAGTTTGATTGAGAGACCCTGCTTCAGTGAATAAGGTGGAAGAGCAATCCAGGATGATTCCCAGCATCGACCTCAGGCCTCTACACACATGTACACACATGTGCCACACACATCACAGAAAATTGTTTTTCTCTGCTGAGTAGTACTCCATTGTGTATATGTACCACATTTTTTTTCATCCATTCTTCCATTGATGGGCATCTAGGTTGTTTCCAGGTTCTGGCTATTACAAATAGTTCTGCTATGAACATAGCTGAGCATGTATCTTTATGGTATGAATCAACATTCCTTGGGTATATGCCCAAGAGTGGGATGGCTGGGTCTTGAGGTAGTTCGATTCCTAATTTTCTGGGAAACCGCCATACTGATTTCCACAGTGGTTGTACAAGTTTACATTCCCACCAACAGTGGAGGAGTGTTCCCTTTGCTCCACATCCTCTCCAACATTGGTTGTCATTGGTGTTTTTGATCGTAGCCATTCTGACAGGTGTAAGGTGGTATCTCAGAGTCATTTTGATTTGCATTTCTCTGATGATTAAGGATGTTGAGCATTTCTTTAAATGTCTTTCAGCCATTTGTAGTTCTTGTTTTGTGAATTCTCTGTTTAGCTCTTTAGCCCATTTTTTAATTGGACTGTTCAGTACTTTGATGTCTAGTTTCTTGAGTTCTTTATATATTGTGGAGATCAATCATCTGTCAGATGTGGGGTTGGTGAAGATCTTTTCCCAATCTGTTGGCTGTCTTTTTGTCTTATTGACTGTGTCTTTTGCCCTGCAAAAGCTTCTCAGTTTCGAGAGGTCCCATTTATTAATTGTTGTGCTCAAGGTCTGTGCTGTTGGTGTTTTATTTAGGAAATGGTCTCCGGTGCCAATGCGTTCAAGAGTGCTTCCTATTTTCTTTTCTATTAAGTTTAGTGTAACTGGATTTATGTTTAGGTCTTTGATCCACTTGGACTTGAGTTTTGTGCATGGTGACAGATACGGATCTATTTGTAATCTTTTACATATTGACATCCAGTTATGCCAGCACCATTTGTTGAAGATGCTTTCTTTGTTCCATTGTATAGTTTTGGCTCCTTTGTCAAAAACCAGGTGTTCATATGTGCATGGATTAATGTCAGGGTCTTCAATTCGATTCCATTGGTCCGTATGTCGGTTTTTATACCAGTACCAAGCTGTTTTTATTACTATAGCTCTATAGTAGAGTTTGAGGTCAGGGATGGTGATGCCTCCAAGGGTTGCTTTATCGTATAGGATTCTTTTAGCTATCCTGGGTCTTTTGTTTTTCCATATAAAGTTGAGTATTTTTCTTTCCAAGATCAGTCAGCATTTTAACAACTTTGAAAATTAGCAAGGTTCATGATAGTCATCACTTTATAAATCTTTTTTATTTTATTTTTTTACTTCTGTGCGTATGCCCATTTGGCTGGATGTGTTCCAAGTGCATGCAGTGCCTGTAAAAGCCAGAAGAGGGCACTGGGGTTCCTGGAACTGTAGTTATAGGCAATAGTGAGCTATGGGTTCTGAGAACTGAATCCCTGTCTTCTGCAAGAGCAGGAAGTGCTCTTAAAGGCCGGCTCTCCAGCCCCACAGTCGCCATTTTATAGACAAGAAAATAAAAGCTTAAGTGAGTCACCCACGGGCACAAGACTCCTAAGTGCGATTAGACCCTGGAACCATCTGACTTCATGCTGCCATAGTCTTCCTTTGACCCATGTTTGTTCCTGGCCCTGTTACTCAATAACACCAGATTCCTTCCGCAGCCTGACTACAAGAAGAGGAAGATGATTCCCCAGCCACCCACTGTCCAAGCACTCCCTGCTGGAGATGCCAGGGCCAAAGCTCACTCACCGCATGGACGTCCAGCGAGTCCACGGTGAGGTCGTAGGGGTCCATGTGCAGGCTGTCAAACACCTGCCGTAGAGTGATCTTCCGACCTAGCTTCTCAGCCACAGTTCTGTCAGGCTCTGTCTGGTACGTGTGCTTGATAAAGCGCAGCAAGTGCTTCTGATTCATGCAGGCCGCTGCGTGAATATGCGTGTCCACCTGGAACACATCCCCCACTGGCCACTGAGCAGGGTCCCCTCCCCTAGTGACCAAAGAACCGCAACCCTCGATGTGGAGCGGAGTCTTAGACTACATGGGCGATGTTGCCAGTGCCCACCATCCCCCTTCCTTCCCCCGGGCCTCAGAGCTAGTCTCCTTCCCTACAGCTGTGCCACCCAGCTTACCTCCAAACAGCATTAAGATATTTTTGTTTTGGTTTATATTTTCCCCTCTCGACAAACCCCCAATGGCCCTCACATCCTCAGGGGGAAGCCCAAAACCTTAACCTGGAATCAAGGCTGCATGCAACTTAATTCTCCCCTTCCTGCCACCCCATCACATGTGGGTGTGGCTTCTCAGGCACCAAGCTACTCTGTGCTGTATCACACTGCCCATGCCTTTCCTCAGTCTGGCAGGTCGTCTTCTTTCCCACCAAGTTCATCTGTTTCATTCTGCTTCCTCCACTTGGAGGCCAATCCTGATGCCCCGGGCACAGCTAAGCCACTCTCTCCCTGGCCCAGCCTGGGCACTCAGTACAGCCATCCACACTGATGGGCACATCCTCCTGACCCCTCTCCTATGTTCCTATCTACCTGGGAGCTCCTCAAGGATGGGGACCAGGTCCACTGCATCCAAGTCTATAGCACCTACCCCAAGGATTGGTCCAAAGTACCAGGTGAGTCATGGGTGGATGAGTAAACCCACGGTGCCATCAGTTCTAATGGTTTCATAAAACCATTGAAACTCCACTCTTCCCACCGACTTCTCTGGGAATCCCAAAGAAATCTCCCTAATAGAGGCAAAAGGATGGCCACCGTACCTTTCTCTGTCAATTCTACCTCACCCCAACCCAGGAATTCCAAGCCCCATACAGCAACAGATGTCCTGACTCTAAGCCAACGTGTGGACTCAGACCTCAGAGCCAATTCTAACTCACAGACAGGAACCTAGAGCTTGGGTCCTCCTGCACTTGGTAGAAACAGATTCCTCAAAGGAGGCACCAGCAAGGAGCCCAGTGGGATCTTGGCATCCTTGTAGAATGCCTCAGGTCTTCCACAGCATGCTAAACTCCCGGGACAGCAGACTGTCCCTTTGCCTCTGGCCTCTCCTCCTTGATCTCCTGTGACAGCTGATCCTCACCCCAGACCTAGGACACTTGTGTCTGTAAAGATTACTTTATGTATGTGTATGTGATTGTGCTCGAATGTGTATGAAAGAGGGGGAGAGGAGAGAGAGAGGAGTCTTGGGGAGAAGAGGGTACTGAGAGAGTGGGGGGGGGCCTGGTGGGAGGGTGCTGAAGAGGGCATTAGATCCCCTGGAGATGAAATTGCACGTAGTTGTGAGCTGCCTTCCATGAATGCTGGGAACTGAACTTCAGTGTCTTCTGCAAGAACACCAAGAGCTGTAACCACCGACCACCTCCCTGGGCCGCATCTGTGCCTTTAACTTTTCTCTTTACACTAACAACTCCCAAATGTGGACCATCAGCTGAAAGTTCCAGAGCTAACTAGCTGACTATCTGACATCTCTATTTGAGGAACTCAAATGTAATGTGCCCCCAAAACTGTACTCTCCATCTCAGACCACAGCCCAAACCTCACCATCTCCCAGGCCTTGGTGTCTGAGAAATGGCACATTCTGAACTCAGAAGTTCACCATGAAAAAGTGGGGGATGCTCAGTCTGCCCATCCCCTTCTCCGGGCACCAGCCAATCCCATCAGTTCTACCTTCCAAACAGATGTGCTCCAACCTCACAATCACAAGAACTCTCTTTCCTGGTCCCTGCAACTTCTCTCGTCCTCCATCAACTCTGCCAACCCCGCACACACAAGCTGGAGCTCTCTTTTTCTTTAAACACTATCATTAGTCTTAGGGTGAGGGCTATGGTGGTTTGAATGTAATTGGCCCCCATAAGCTCATAGGGAGTGGCACGATTAGGAGGTGTGGTTTTGTTGGAGTGGGTGTGGCCTTGTTGGAAGAAGTGTGTCACTGTGGAGGTGGGCTTTGAGGTCTCATATATGCTCAAGCCACACCCAGCGTCTTGGTTCACTTCCTGTTGCCTGAAGATCAAAGATGTAGAACTCTCAGCTCCTTCTCCAGCACCATGTCTGCCTGCACACTGCTATGTCCCACCATGATGATAATGGGCTGAACCTCTGAAACTACAAGCTACCCAATTAAATGTTTTCCTTTATAAGAGTTGCCATGGTCATGGTGTCTCTTCACAGCTATAGAAGCCCTAACTAAGACAAGGGCATTCCTAAAATTGCTAAAATTCCAATCGCCCTTTCGCCTCTATTCTTACTCTTTTTACTATGTTCCATCTATCAGGCTAAGGGAAGAGGTAACTAAGTCTCAGTCGGCATGCTGGGTCACCTTGCACGAGCTCAAGAAGACCAAGAGGTGCTCTCAGGCACCAGCCTGCACCCTGGAGCCCAGCTGACTGGGCTGTCTGCCAAGGCTGAGGTGAGGAGGCACTGACCTCAAGCCAGGAAATGCTGTCCGCAGCTGCTTGGTCATCTGTAAGTCATGCCAATCAGACATTTGATCTACTGGACCTCTGTGTACATTATCCCAGCCAGCCCATGGTGTTGGACACATCGCTCACTCATCAGTGTCCTTCCTGCCATCAGTTTCTGACACTCCTCCAAGAGAGACAGAAACAACTCAAAGCTGTGAAACCCGAAGCATCACACAGAGCAGGGCTGAGGCTCCAGCACTTCAGAGCTGAGACTAAACAAGAGTAGCCTGGCTTTGCTCAGTGCAGTGTGGCCTAACTACTATCTCAGCATGACTCCACACATTCTTCTTCGATTTTGTGGTTATACACACTGCCTGCTGTGGCTCCCATAAGTCACAGGATAGAGAATGAAAACAGCTGGACCATCCAGGAGTCACCCAGTCCAAGTTTCAGAATCTCAAAGGTGACTCTATTAGAAATAAGTATAAAAGGTCTTTATTGGAGATTAGTGTCTTCCATTCACCAGAAAAATCTACATGAATACTCTACACTCACATGAGATCCAGGTTCACACAAACAGTAACATTTCAACACAGGACTGGTTGATATCAGGGACCTGAGCTAACACTGGCCCTTCCCACAACCATGCAGACATGAGTAATCAATAACACTTTTTTCTTTAAGCTTGAATAGCTTCAGGGAGCCGATCCTCACTGGTCAGGCTTGGCCCAGATGATACCTATGGTGTCCCTGATGTGACACTTTAACTAAAGTGGACAATGCCCATTTTCATCTAATACCCAACCTACAAGTAGCAAACACAGCCCCTCTTTCTAAGCACTGGGCAGAAAACATGTGTCTCAGTTACAGGGTCCTTCCAGTTGGGGCTCACAGTGTCATAACTCATTCCTACCACCCACACAGACACATGTCATGTCCCAGGCTCCTGCCTTCAGAGCCTGGCTCTGGACCTGACAGCCGCCACAGAAATAGGATGCCCCTTCCCAGTCACTGTGGATTTTAAAATCCCAGTCTTGTCCCTAGGACACAGGTTCTGAGGAGGGTAATAAAGCATCCAGCAACCAGCAGGCCAGCTCTCCCACCCTGGAAGAACAAGCACAGGCCTAACTCATCAGCTTTGGACTCATGTTTACAGACTAACTAAGGTGCCCCAAACCAGACTGTTATGTCATAGAGCAGGATCAACCCCAGACTGCCAGGAAACCCCAAGAATATCTCTGTGCTCCCCCGACAGTCTCATACCAAGACACTCTCCCACATCATGGCCAAGGAGCAGCCCAGGGATAGTGAAGGGTAGTCCAGGGATGGCCACAGAACCATATCAGAAGCACAGTCAGCTAGGCCGCCCTGGCCCCAAGCATCAGGAGACAGACCCAGAGCACTCACACCTGCAGAGGGCAGGGCTGTGCTGGACTCGGTGAGGTGTTTCACTGGCCTGCCAGGTATGTGCCGAGTTCTTACAGTAACTGAGGCACACCACCTGACTGAGCACAGTGGCTATTTTGTCTAGGTATGTGGTCTAACCATGACCTTTCACCTCTGCCCAGGCATCCAAGATAAAAGCCTGTCGTAACTCATGAGGCTTACTCTCTCTTCTGAAGCCTCTTGGTGCAGTCTGAGACTTCTGGTATTCTTAAGAAGCCCATCGGCTTCCGTTGTTCAGAACCTTCCCACGGCCTTGCAGCCTCCCCACCCGCCGGGCCGGGCTGGCACCTAAGTTCCAGCCCCACCTGCTTGCCCTCTCTCCTTCCTCTGCTCCCTCCTGACGTCTGCTGGCATGTGCCACTCCCTCCACAGGAATGCCACTGTCCCTTTCCTTCCCGCACCACACACCCTCCCCTGCTCAGCTCTGGCCTTTCCTTGGAAGCCACTCCCCAGCCCATCACAGCCCTTGTCCCTGGAATTCTTGACAGCCGGAAGTGACTCTTGCTCTCCATCCGCCATGGTCAATAAGTCTCAGTGGGTCTTACTTACCTGGAAGAAAGTGCAAAGTCTCCAGGCCAGGATCCTTTCACACACGCACGCGCGCACACGCACACACACACACACACACACACACACACACACACACACACACACACGCACGCATGCACTTGCTGCCACCTCTGCAGGCAGAAGGTGCCAGCGACACTCAGCCATTCCTTGGGTAGAAGAGGGACAGGGACAGGCACAGCTCAGTGACTCACT